CAGTGGAACATGCCTCCCCCATTTTTTTTTTTTTTTTGAGAATCATTTATAAGCCAACAAAAGAGAAGCTTTTTTTTTTTTTAAAGTCTCCATGCAGTTTTCTTCCCAAAAAGATTAAGATGGCCATAAATATCAGTATTGTAATTTTACTCCTTAGCTGATCACATGCCTGTGTATCGTGTGTGTGAGACAGCTAATGCTGTTGCTGTCTCACTCAGGTCCTGTAGGTGAGTATCAGCTGCCCTTTGAGGAAGAGGTGGGCCAACATCTTTCACTGGAAGACCTTCAAGATGTGGTGGTCCACAAGAAGATGCGGCCCGTTTTTAAAGACTGTTGGATCAAGCATCCGGTGAGAATGTACTTTTAGAAGAAGTGCTTATCAACAAAAGAGAAGGTCTCCCTGCAGTTAAACATTTGAAAATAATGAAGACAGCCATAAATATTAGTATTGTAATTTTACAGTTGCAGTTTTTTAATGTAAAGTGGAATGTTAGAATAGCAATATTTCAAATAGTTTTTTTTTTGTAATTTTTATATTTGTATTTTATTATATTTTATTTGTTTATGTAATAATAAAAAATAATATTATTATTATTGATAGTGTCATATTGATGTATAATCACAGAATTTTGGGAACATTGTGCAGCCCTACAAACAATGTTTTATTTGGTAATTATTTTTATTTAGTATCAATAATAATAATAACAATAATAATAAAATATAGTCAAACAATTTGGACAAATTGTGCAGCCTCAATTTTTTTATCACAGTTTTGAATTACATTGCCTATAAATTCTGGTCCTATAAAATTCTAAAATTAATTCTAACAATGTAGAAATCCTTTCAAAATCTGAGGCTTTATTTGGACCTCTTTCTCTGTGGTTTCGTCAGGGTTTGGGCCAGTTATGTGAGACCATCGAGGAGTGCTGGGACCATGACGCAGAGGCACGGCTGTCCGCAGGCTGTGTGGAGGAGCGCATCTCCACCATCTCAAAGACAACCAACACCATCAACACGTCTACCTCGGAGTGCCTGGTCTCCATGATGACGTCCCACAGCGACACGGACCTTCCTCCCAAAGAGTCCAGCACCTGAACACCCGCCTCCAAACATCAGGAACTGCGAACCACTGTGTTCATCGCTCCAGTAAATGTGAACTTTGCTGCTAATTTGATCTCTGGATCGCCATGTATTTCATTTCTTCTTGCATCGTTGGATCGCTTTCACCAGCACATTCATCTACTGTACTCTTCCGAGAGGAAGGCACACACAAAAATCCTCAAACACGAGAAGACCGAACTCTCAGAGGGCATTCAGGGGATCGTTTCAGACTGCTGGGAAATGAGCACACGTTACCTCATCGGTTTTAATGCCATTTTTATGTTGTTGTTGTTTTTTTTGCCTTCACTCCATGAATACCTCCATCCAAAATGCTCTACCCTTGGGTTTTATCGAGACTACATGATGATCTGATGACTGTTACACAACCTTCCAAGAGCACACAAGGTCCTTTTTGTACTCTGTGAATTTTAGTGTTTTAATGTACCCTTTTTTCCTTGAAATGTCTTGTGGGATGTTATTTTTCGTATTTCCGGCAGTGACGGCAGTTGTCTGGGACACTGGAAGCTGAAGGCAGTGGGACTGTTATGATTCGAGTTGCCTTTCGCAGCGTCGGGATTGGTTTTAATGTAGCATCTGCTTATGTTGAAGTATCTGAAGTCAGACGTGCCATCACCGCTGGCGTGTTTCAGTGTTCGTTGTTTCTGAGTGACAAGAGCTGCAGTTGAAGTATTAGTTCTGCGACCGCGTGAAGACCAGCGCTGCGTTACAGGTTTGATTTCAATCACGGCTAAATGTTTCGGTGCATCAGGAAAGTGTGATGTTTATCCGCTACACTACTCAGGTAAACTCTGTGCATGTGATTGTGTGACCGCTCACTCTTACAGCAATAGTTCTCAGCAGTATGGTGAATCTCACAAAGAACAATCTGGGTCATAAGTCATCTTAAAATCAAAATGAAAAATGTAGAATTATACATTCATGAAAATTTTGTTCAATGAAAGTAAAGCTTATTTTTAGGGCCAAGATTTATTGCATTGCGTCATTATTTCATAACTGTTAAGCACATCTTAGCATATCATTAGCGTAATGGAAAACAAATATTTTAATGAAAAATATCACAAATGTATTTTTTTATTTAATTTATATTAGTGTAAGGAATTTGGTACAAGAAAACTACCTTTTTAACTATTTTTACAGATGTGCTTTACAAATATAATATATTTTTCCTTGCATCACAGTAATGAGAATAAGGGTGTTTTTTTGGTTGTGGTTTTTTGCTTTTTTGCACCAAAGTAATGTGATTTTTTTTTTCTAATATGAATTATTTTCTAATATATGTTGCAATATAAAAAAAATCTAAATTATCCTAGTATAGGCTTTATTCTCTTTATGCAGCATTTAATTTTGTAGAAAATAAAGCTTTTGGGCCATTGCATATTATAATTACTGTAATGCAAAAATAAAATAAAAAAATACTATCCCCCAATAATTATTATTCATTTTTGTAAATGTATGTTAAGTACAATAAAAACTATTTTTTGCAATTTAAGTATATTTTTTCTGGCATAGTTTTTTTTTTGCATTACCATAATGAAAATCCAATGTGCTAAAATGTCGTGAATAATGTCACAGTATAAAAAAAAAATTATAATGGTCCTAAAATGGGCTTTATTCTCTTTATGCATCATAAAGATCCTTTTTTTGTGCCGTTGAGTGTTTTTTTTTCCCCTAAAATGGCTTAATTATCAACTAAATAATGTCACAAAATAAAAATATCTTAATGGTCCTTAAATAGGCTTCATTCTCTTTATGCAACATTTAGTTTAGCAGAAAATAAAGTTCTTTTCATGAATGTCATAATTAAGCAACACTTTCCTTACCCAGATTAACAGTTTTTTTAACTGATGTTAAATACAATAAAAATTCACCTAAAATATATTTACAATTGTGTTTAACAATCTAAATATTTTCTTTTGCAGCACATTAATAAGATTTTTTTGTGCTGAAATGTCATGAAAATGTCACAATATAATAAAATCATAACTGTCCTAAAATAGGCTTCATTCTCCTAACACAACATTTAAATTAGCAGAAAATAAAGTAAATTTTTGGTCTCTTAAAGCATTAATGTCATAATTAAGCTACAGTTTTCTCCCCCAAATTATCATTACTGTAATGCAAAAAAATACCGATTTTTTAAATTGATGTTAAATACAACAAAAATTTAACTAAATATATTTACAGTTGTTTAACAATTTAAATATATTTTCCTTGCATCACAGTAATAAGAATAATGTTTTGCATTACGTTAATGAGGAACAAATGACTTGAAATGAACTTGAAATCATACAGTCCTAAAATAGGCTTCAGTCTCTTTCTGCATCATTTAAGTTCTTATTTTTTCTTTTGATTTTTGGGGTGAAATATGACCCAGGCATCTCTCGATTCACATCTCAACAGTGGCGATATCTCACGGCTCGCCTGTTTCCCGCAATAACTTCACTGTTGAAGACTGAATGTCCGTAGTGCTGTAGTCTTCAGTCATCTCATGGACTCCAGTGTTGTTCAGGAACAGGCAGCTTTTATCAGACTCATTGGTCAGTCTAACACTAATACGATCACAATCTCAACCGTCATGCGCTCAGTGATTAGATATACCTCAGATATTGTGACTTTTTTATATATAAATATATATAAAGTATTTTATTCAGTTTTGTGATAGCAATATAATTTAATATCCAGCTGCTTTTCTGTGATTTAAGGAGATTTCCTCGTGTTATTGTTTTTAACAGAAGGTGCTCGATGCGTTTCATAAAGTGTTTAGCTTTGAGTCAAGCATCCGCTGGTTCAATGGCTTCTGTGGTTCAGATGAACTGTTCTCTGAGGACATGCAACCCTTTCTTAATTGTGTTTTATTTAGTTTACGTTTGTTTGTTTGTTTGAGTGGTACATGTATCTTCTTCCCTCGTCTCCATCTTATCAATTGTATTAAGTTGGATTTCTCTATTAGCAAATCAGGGACTTGAAATATAATTAAAGTATTGCAGTGCAAGTTGTGCAAATTTAGTTGAAGCCAAACTTTTATGCTATCAGGTGTTGATGTGTGATGTATTTAAATTAGGGTGACCATACGTGCCATTTTCCCAGGATGCGTCCTGGCCAGGATTTCTATATTGCCTAAAATATCTAGGTTTTGGCTTTGTTTGCGTGTGCAGACCGATCGGTGTATGACATCAAAATACCTCGAGAGCATTTTGAAAGCATAAGGAACCGTCTGTATAGTATTTTGATGTCATACACCGATCGGTCTGCACACGCAAACAAAGCCAAAACCTAGATATTTTAGGCAATATAGAAATCCTGGCCAGGACGCGTCCTGGGAAAATGGCACGTATGGTCACCCTAATTTAAATAACGTCATCAGATCTGCTAACCGATGTAGTTGAAGCATCATTTACTCTTGTTATATTTCTCTGTTTCACATAAATAAACCCTAAAGAAGTGTTCGTATGTTAAGACTACCTGAGGAAATTTCCCATGATCCTTTGCCGGCTCAATGTGAGCTGGATTCTCACAAAGGATCAGGAATGATGGAGGTCTATTGATGCGTTGTTGTTGTTTTTACTGCTGCTAATGTAGTAAATGTATGTTGTGTTGCCCCAGTTTGGGTCATTTCAGATTCTGCTGCCATGTTCAGTATTTTGTTGAATTAAACATTACCCATGTTTATCATTTGAATGTCCTGTTTGTCTTTTACATTTAGGACATAGTGAATAATTATGTATTATATGTACAAAAGAAAGGCCATGGTCAAGTGTTTTAGAATATTTAATTTTATTTTTTATTTAATTTTAAATTTTATTTAATTTTATTTAAGGCCATGATTGCCGGTCAAACTTGACCTCTACAAGTTTTTACATTTTATTTAATTTTTTTTAAGTGTTGCATATGTATAAAAATTTATTAAAAATAATTAAAAATAAATCAATTACAAAAAAAAGATGCATAACCAAAGAAAAGGAAGGGACATGACTGCTGGTCAAATTTAAAATATTTTATTTGATACAAAAGTAAAAGTCCATGACTGCTGGTCAAAATTCTTAAAATATTTTATTTTTTATTTAAAAGGCCTTGACTGCTGGTCAAACTCCCTTTTTAAATACCGGAAATGGGTCAAAAACCATTTATGTCAACGAGTCATATCTAGCTTAGACAAACACATTTTTTTCCTACAATAGTTGTGCAGCTTTTCATGCAATTATTAATTATGCAAATCTATTTTTTGAAAATACATTCAAAATCCATTGGGGTTATGAGGCTTCAGTAATTCAGCTTTTAAGTTGAACTCGCCTCTCTGCAGCACTAGAGGGCAGTATGTGTTCGGCTGATCTCTCAGCACGCGCACTCATGACTCGGGACAGGAAGTGACAGATGTTGACTGCAAGGTTAAGAGATGGGACATATGGACAGTCCAAATATTTAATACCCGCAGATATATCTCGCCAGAGTCCTCTGTCCCTGTAAGGATCTACAATAACACCGCAGGAGTGACACATGACTGAAATCCTCAGAGATCAACAGAGGGTCAAGACAACCTGCTTAAAATAGACACGCTAACAAGACCTTTCCTTTGGCATAAGTGTTTATCAGTCAGAAATGTCTATCTTCTATGGTTCATCTATAACAGGACCTTCCACAAATTAAGGCCTAAAAACTTAGGCTGAGGGTGAACCATCTTCAGGGTTTGTGTTAATCAAACAACAGAAGAAAAACACAGGATCCCTCGCTGCTCTAAATTCTGTAGCTTTAATAGCTATTTGTGTATATTTACTTAATACATTAATACAGTTTTCACAAGCACTGTAAGTTTATTTAGATCATTTATTTTTGAATCTATTGGTCTCTCTGAAGGCTCATTCCCCCTGAGGATGAAATCCTGGTGTAAGCTATTAACTACAAACATCAAACCCTCTTTTTAGGCAAGTCCCAGATATGGGTGTCATGTAGGCTAATAAAATATGTTTAATAGGTCTGAATTTGTATTTATCAGTATCACAATTTAATAGAAACATTGCAAGTTACTAATAATAACGGTTTCAGTTCCACGGTTATTCAGACAGCAAAATTATACAGAAAATGAGCGAAGAACAAGATCACTAAAAAAAAAAAAACTATCGTTTTAATCAATACACTGAAATTATTCCCTTACTTAAACCATACATCTGCACTTTGCTGTTTATGATGAGAAAATTCATGAGAGGAATGTTTGTCCAATTTGGTGACATTATTGCCCCAAGTCCCCGTGGCCAAATGTTGCATGTATTGCAAAAAAACAAATATCTTCCTTGTTTTCCAATGCAAATATCTAAACATCCTTAAATCAAAATGCATTTACTTGAGAAGTGAACTGAACATATGAAGTCTTGTTTTCGGAGAAATTGATCAAAATGAAGCAAGTTTGTGATTAAAACAAGAACAATATCTGGTTATGAAAACTTGTTTTCCCTTTGAATTAAGTTGATTTTTCTGAGCCCATTGGCAGATATTTGTTCTCGGTTTAATTATCTTGTGACATTTTGCTTGTGAAATGTTTCTTTATTTAAGGAATACGTCAGTCATGACTTGATCCTACTTTGCTCCTTATGTATGAATATTCAAGATTAAGTAATGGCAAGAACAAAAATGGAATGAATTAAAAAGAACAGCAACAAAAAAAAGGGCTGTTTCAGAAAAAGTCTCGTTTTGAGTTCAGTGGAAATAAGCGGAGCTCCCCTCCAGGTCAGGATTTCTCCAAACCTTTCTAAGCCAACACTGCACCAACAGATGGACGGCGTTAATTGCATTTTTCCTTTTTTTCTGTGGCAGATTATTATGATCATATTATGAATTTTGGTTTCTCGGA